CCCCACATTGGGAACCACCAAAATATATGTATATACTGAAGTGCTAGAATGTTTTTTTTTAATGTAACAGAAATAAGTCTTTCAGTGAGGTTTATCAACAGACTGGCATAATAAAGACATCAGTCAAGTTCAAGTAAGGTCAATATAAACTATACAAAATAATATACAAAAAGAGTTAGGGGGCAGTATGGAAAAAGGGCCATACCAAACCTGACAATGTCACAGTTTAATGTAATTGGAGTCCCAGAAGAGAAAGAAATAGAGAAAAGGGGAGGAGAAATACATGAAGAGGCAAGAGCAAAGAATGTTTGATTTGGTAATATATATCCAAACCTCCAGAAGCAAAGCAAACCCCAAGCGGGATAAACATAAAGAAACCCACATCTGGCCCTAACCAGTTTGGCTCAGTAGATAGAGCGTCGGCCTGCAGACTCAAGGGTCCCAGGTTCGATTCCAGTCAAGGGCATGTACTTCGGTTGCAGGCACATACCCAGTAGGGAGTGTGCAGTGCAGGACGCAGCTGATCGATGTTTCTCTCTCATTGATGTTTCTGACTCGCTCTATCCCTCTCCCTTCCTCTCTGTAAAATAAATCAATAAAATATATTTTTTAAAAAAAGAAACCTACATCTAGGCACCTTATATTCAAATTGCTGTCAAACGAAGTTGGGGGGTGGGCTGAAGGGATGGGGAATAATGCTTAATGGGTACGGGATTTATTTGGGGTTGATGAAAATGTTTTAGAACTAGAGAGATGTGAAGGAGGCACATTGTGAATGTACTTAATGCCACTGAATTATTGAGTTTAAAATGGTTACTTCTGTTATATGCATCTCTCTTAATTTTTTTAAGTGAGAAAAAAGACATCCTATCTAATAAACGAGAAACATGGTAATTAGCGTACGACTGCTACCCTTCCCATTGGCTAATCAAGGCGATATGCAAATTAACAGCCAGCCAAGATGGCGGCCGGCAGCCAGGCAGCTTAAAGCGAACATGAGGCTTGCTTGCTTCAGTGACGGAGGACTCCAATGTTCCCCACCTGCCGCTGCCGGCCTCTGAGCTGCAACTCTAAGCAACTATGTTACAAATACAGAAACTAAACAAAACCCCAGAAACCTGCTTTAGTCCCGGGCTTCAGCCAGCAGGATCGCAACATTGTTTCAAATACAGAAGGTAAACAAAGGCCAGAAACCTTTTCAGCAGCGGAGGCCTAAGAGCTGGAGCCAAGCCTGAGAGCTAAAGCGGCCCAGAATTTTTAAAAAAAGAAAAAAAGGAGCGGTTGGGAGATTCAGTCACCCACCAGCCTGAAAACAGCCCTCAGCCCCTCACCCAGAATGGCCAGGCACCCCACCCCAGTGGGGGCCCCCACCCTGAAGGTTGTGTGACCAGCTGCAAACAGCCATCATCCCCTCATCCAGGCTAGCCAGGCACCCCAGTGCGGACCCCCACCCTGATCAAGGACACCCTTCAGGACAAACCAGCCGGCCCCCACCCAGGCACCAGGCCTCTGTCTTATATAGTAAAAGGGTAATATGCCTCCTAATGCCAGGATCAGCGGAGCTGCGAGGCCTCCTGGCACCGGGATCAGCATGACAGGGGGCAGCGCCCAAACCCCGATCGCCCTTGCGACTCTGTGTGTGACAGGGGGCGGGGCCACAACCTCCCTATGGGCCCTGCTGTTTGTGTCAGAGGAAGGCGCCCCAACCCCCTGATCAGCCCTGCTCTGTGCCTGATAGGGGGAAGCTCCCCAACCCCCTGATCGCCCTGCGGCTCTGTGTGTGACAGCCTAAAGTGCCCCAACCCCCTGATAGGCCCTGCCCTGTGTGTGACTGGGTGTGGTGCCCCAACCCCCTGATCCGCCCTGCTGTGACAGGGGGCGGTGTCCTAGAGGGGGTGGGGCCACAACCTCTCTATCCACCCTGTTCTGTTTGTGACAGGGGAAGGAGCCCCAACCCCCTAATCAGCCCTGCTCTGTGCCTGATAGGGTGGAGCTCCCCAACCCCTGGATTGCCCTGCGGCTCTGTGTGTGACAGGGTACAGTGCCCCAACTCCCCAATCGGCCCCTCTCTGAGCCCGACCAGGGGCTGCACCTAGGGATTGGGCCTGCCCTCTGCCACCAGGGAGCAGGCTAAGCCAGCAGGTCGTTATCTCCCGAGGGGTCCCAGACTGCGAGAGGGCACAGGCTGGGCTGAGGGACCCCTCTTCCCCCTGAGTGCACAAATTTTTGTTCACCAGGCCTCTAGTGAATATATAATTCTCAAAACAAAAAAAGATACAAAATGGTCCTTACACATATGAAGATGATAACTTCACTCATAAGAGAAATTCAAAATAGAATTATGCCAATATACAATTCCCCACCCATTAGACTGGCAAAAATTTGAATACCAATATGTTGACAAACAGGCACTTCCATAAATTGCTAGTAGGAAGGCAAAACCCTTAAAGGGTACGTGGTAATAACTGTGGCAGACAGATACTAAAGTGGCGCCCACTTCCTGGTGTTCACTCCTTTTTATAATCCCCTCCCTTTGAAACTGTACAGACATAGAATTGCTTCTAACCAACTTATATCACTCCTGTGATTTTAAAAAATATATATTTTATTGATTTTTGACAGAGAGGAAAGGAGAGGGATAGACAGTTACAAACATTGATGAGAGAGAAACATTGATCAGCTGCCTCTTGCACACCTACTGGGGATGTGCCCGCAACCCAGGTACATGCCCTTAGCTGGAATCGAACCTGGGACCCTTCAGTCTGCAGGCCAACGCTGTACCTACTGAGCCAAACTGGTTAGGGCAACTCCTGTGATTTTTTTGTTACATTATGAAAGACTCCATTTAGAGCCTACCTGTTCTAGATTTTTCTTGCTAACTTGATAAAATTGCCATTTGTGAAAAACCCACAAGATACAGAACTGAGAGGCCTCTAGGAGCAGATTAAGTTTTTATTATTTTCAAAGAGGACATGTATTCTAGATCTTGTCATGAAGAAACATCAATGTCAAACAGGAAAATTCTATAAAATAATTTCCTTGTATTCTTCAAAAATGTCAATGTCATAAAGTCAGGCAAAAGGCCACGGAACTGTTCCAGATTAAAGACCAGGACATTAGACAAGAGAAGGCAATGTGACACTGAAGCAAGATGCTATCTATGCTATTGGTTTTGAAGTTGGAGGAAGGGAACCAAGGGACTAAAGGAAAGTAGTTCAGCCCAACTAAAACCTTGATTTTAGTCCAGAAAAACTGATTTGAGATTTCTGATCTCTAGAGCTCTAAGAGAATAAAATGTATGTTCTAGACAAACAAACAAGCAAACAAAAGATTAAGATGTTATAATCAAATGTACTACAATATCCTAGATTGGATTCTAGACTGGACAAAAAAGTGAGTGTTATAAAGGACATTATCAGGATGATTTATGAAACTTGAATATAGGCTATAAATTAGAAAACAGTATTTATAGTTAATTTTCCTTAATGTGATAATTGCACTGTGTTTATATTAAGAGAATATCATTGTCCTTAAGAACATACATATAAAGTAGGGATGGTAGGAGGCAGGAAAATAGAAAAAAATAATAAAGCAAATGTAAAATGTTAAGAATTTATGAATATAGGTAGAGTATATGAGGGCTCTCTGTACAAATTCATACATCACATCTGTAATTCTAAAGTTAGCCTATATAATAAAAGGGTAATATACAAATAGACCGAACAGCAGAACGACTGTTTGCTATTAAGCACACTCATCACCAGGGGGCAGACGCTCAACGCAGGAACTGCCCCTGGTGGTCAATGTGCTCCCACAGGGGGAGCACCACTCAGCCATAAGCCAGGCTATGGCCAGCAAGCACAGAGGTGGTGGCGGGAGCCTCTCCTGCCTCTGTGGCAGCGCTAAGGATGCTAAGAATGTCCAAGTGCAGCTTAGGCCTGCTCCAGCAGAGGGGACCCCACCCTCCCCGCCCCAGTACATTGATGTCGTGCAAACTGGGCCTCTAGTTTCAAAATAAAAACTTTCTTTAAAAGAGAGAAAGAAGACACACACACACACACACACACACACACACACACTGAAATTTCTTAAAGATGTCAATCACTGAAGAAGGGAAGGAGATGAGGAAAAGGAACCTATCTATGAAAAACTGAATTCCATCCAGTGGTTCTCCTTATATAATCTCTACATCAGGAGTTTCTAACCTGATATCCAGAGACCCAAGGGGTCTATGGAAAGAATTCACTGAATCTATGATGAGAATAGGAAAAAAATTATGCTTTAATTTCATTAACCTTTAACTGATACTTTTCAATTATAAAAGCAGGCAACAAATAGTAGTTTTGGGAGTACCTGTACTGTTATCAACAATAGAAATCACATGTTTTCACTTCATATTAGTTACTGAAATTCTCAAAATAACATATGCACTGTTCAGTATTTCCAAAATACAGTAATTCTTATTGCTAGATTTTAATGCAATACATGAGAAAGAGCAGCTTTTTAAGTTTTTGATAACTGTATTTCAAAATAACTGGTTTCTTGGGAATCCTATGTATTCTATCTTATACATTTATATATGTTATTCTCATAGGCTTCAGACTGTTCAAGGTTTCAACATAAAAAAGTAAAGAATCTGCTGTAAGGTATCAATCCCTCATTTGCTTACAAGGATGTCATAATGAGGAAAATTAAAACAGTTTGCAGCTTTTTGCTCTGCCATAAAGCAAATGATAAAGACAGCATTGATAATGAACATTCAATCTAACCCTCTCATTATTTAAATTCTAATTTCCAATGTGCTAAAGCAAAATTTTTTTCACGTTAACTGCAGCCTCACATAAAGCATCCAAGAACAAATATACCACCACACACCCACACATGAAAAAAATACAGGCACAAGTAACTATAAAAATGAATCAAGACTGTGAAATGCCTCATAGAAAAACTCAGTGCTTACATATCTTAAAGAAATTGGTTAAAAACAAGATACTATTTACCATCTCTCTTTTGGAAAATTTTTTAAAATTTCTTTAATGATTGGCTGGTAGCAGGCATCCCTTTCTGCTTTTCCACTTTCACACCAGTCTCTCACAAACTGTTTCAATGTGGATTTTAACTTATCCATGTCAAATGTAGATGCTGGCATAATCTTCCCATTCCCCTGTTTAAAAAAGAGAAATCAATTAGTTTCTGAGAAAAGTAATCAATCTTGAATATAGTTAAATAGACATGCTACTAAGAGGCTATATAGATGGTTTAGTGGATAAATCACTGGCCTCTCACCTCAGCAGGGTTTGAGTGCAGCTTGAGATCCTACATGAAAAGTTTGGTGGTCTCACTTCTACCCTCAATAGATTATGGTCCATTAATCATGAAACCACCATATGATTAAGCAGTCTTTACTCGGGAGAGGACCAGCATTGCTATGGAGATCAAACATTCTCTCTCTAAGAAAGAAAAGAAAGTCCTTCCAGGTCATTGATGGGGCAGCATGGAGAGGCTCACAGTGGAGTGGCCCAACAGTATCTATCCTGTGGATAAAAAAGAGGACTTAAGTTTCTATTACTTCCAGTCCCTTGTGCTTTGTAAGTGAAAATCATTTCTTAAAAGATGACTTGCCCTGGCCAGTATGGCTGTTAGCTAGAGCATCATCCTGTGCACCAAAGGGTAATGGGTTTGATTCCTGGTCAGGGCACATGCCCAGATTGTGGGTTCAATCCCTGGTTGGGGCACATGCAGGAAGAGCTGATTGATGTCTGTCTCTGTCTGTCTGTCTCTCTCTCTCTCTCTCTCTCTCTCTCTCTCTCTCTCTCTCTCTCCCTCTCACTCTCTCTCCCCGCCTTCCCCTTTCTTTAGAAACAATGAAAATCATATCCTTGGGTGAGAGTTGAAAATAAAATAAACAAAAGATGACTACCAATAGATACAAGATACTGGGAACAATGAGTTTAGCAAGGGAAAGTAATTTTACATAACTACTAAAGTAGTTTATAAAAATTTAAGTCACTACTCTGTATGCCAGAACACCGTGAAAGTATATCAAAATGCCAAGAATTATCTTAGTATTTAAAGAAAAAAGTCAGTGAACAAATCCAGTTTTTGGCATACTGTTCTATTAAGACTAATCAAATGACGGAATATACAAGTGGAAACATTCTCTAAGTAGAGCAAATGACCAATGCAAAATTATAAAAATGAAATCCAGAAAGATAAAGACCTCAAAATATTGAGATTAAACTCTAAAATAAAAACAAATAGAAGAAATTTCACATACATTTTCTCCATATTCTTTATTTTCAAACATATGTATGCAATCATTCACAATGGTCAGTAGTATTTCTTGATTATGATCAATGCATTTCCGGATCTTGTCCAAGTGGAGAAGAAACTGAGGAAGGAGTTTCTGTTGATTAGCTGGAAGTGATCGAAACTGTCTTTCTGTTCGGTTCACTCGCTCATGCATACTGGTGCTAAAACATAAAAAGTGTTTTTTAAATTGGCAAAAAAATTCTCAGCAGAGGCCAATCTTATTTTAAGGTTGTCTTTCTGTACAATTATTCCCTTATAATCTACATAATAAAAGCCTAAGCGACCTTTATGGCGGAATGATTGGTCACTATGACGTGCACTGACCACCGGGGGCAGACGCTCAATGCAGGAGCTGCCCCCCTGGTGGTCAGTGTGCTCCTACTGGGGGAGCGCCACTCAGCCAAAAGCCAGGCTCTCCTGCCTCCACAGCAGCGCTAAGGAAGGAGCAGCGAGCAAGCAGGTGGTAAGGAGCAAGGGGTCCGGGACTGAGAGAGGGTATAGGCGGGGCTGAGGGACTCCCCCTGCCATGCACAAATTTCATGCACCAGGCCTTTAGTGTTGAATAATGTAATGTCACAATCTTTTGGTTCCCTAAAGCAGTGGTCACCAACTGGTGGTCTGTGGACTACTGGTGGTCCATGAGGTCCGAAAGGTTGGCAACCACTGGTTTAAGGATACCTTTGGAGCAGCAGTTGCCAACCAGTGGTCCACGGACCACTGGTGATCCATGAGGTATGAAAGGTTGACAACTGCTGCATTAAAGGATATCCACTTAGAAAGTCTTCATATGTTTTCACTTTAGTACAAATTCTCTAAGCAGCCAAACAAAAGACAAACTGTTTATAACCAGTAAAAGTTAGAAACACCAATGAGAAGAGGGGGACAAAATATTACAGAAAATTAGTGTACAATAAGTTTATTGTTATGATTTCAATTTTCAAACTTGAAATTTTCAGCAAAAGTAGCTGAATGCTTTAGATACCTCCATCAAGTTAACAGAATGCTGCTCTGAAATTGCTTTAGGATAAAAAACGTGTTTTGAAATAAACTAAGAGCCAACCAAGTTGAATTTTTCAAAATATCATAAAAGATACTAGAGGCCCGGTGCATGAATTCATGCAGTGTGTGTGTGTGTGTGTTGTGTGTTGTGTGTTGTAGTGGGGAGGGCTGGATCTCTCAGCCCAGCCTGCGCCCTCTTGCAGTCTGGGACCCCTCGCTTCTTACCACCCGCCTGAAGCAGAGGTGGGAAAGGCTCTCCACTACTGCCGCTGTGTGTGCTCGCCAGCTGTGAGCCCGGCTTCTGGCTGAGTGGTGCTCCCTCTGTGGGAGTGCACTGACCACCAAGGGGCAGCTCCTGCATTGAGCATCTGGTGGTCAGCGCACGTCATAGAGACCAGTCGTTTCGTTGTTCAATAGATTTGCATATTAGGGCTTTATTATATAGGATTATGTATCACAAAAGTAGTAAACAAATTAAAAATTGAAATTCCATAGCATCTTACATGACAATATTCACACTTTGCATTCTTAAAGTTTCCAAAGAACTATGCCCTGGCTGGTGTGCCTCAGTGGCTAAAGTACAATCTCAAAGAGTCAAGGGTTCCATTCCTAGTCAGGTCACATCCCAGGGTTTCAGTCTCTGGTTGGAGCATGTGCATGAGGCAACCCATTAACGTTTTTCTCCCCCTCTCTCGCCCGCTTCCCCCCCTCCCTTCTCCCCCTTCTTCTCTTTCTAGAATCAATGAAAAACATATTCTCAGGTGAGGATTAAAAGTTTCACGTTGGGAACTACCTATTTATAAAATCTGAAAAGAACATCATGCCCTAGCTGGTCTGGATCAGTGGCTAGAGAGTTGGCCTACGGACTGAATTCCGGTCAAGGGCACATGCCCAGGTTGCGGGCTTCATCTCCGGTGGGAGCATGCAGGAGGCAATCAATCAGTGATTCTCTCTCATCATTGATTTTTCTATCTGTCTCTCCCTCTCCCTTCCTCTCTGAAATTAATAAAAATATATTTAGAAAAAAAAAGAAAAGAACATCATTTTTAAAAGTTAAATGCTATACTCACAGTGAAATGCAATTTTACTTCAATTAGATGGGCAAAATTTAAAAGCCTGTCTATCTGAAATGTTGGTAAATAGTGGAATAATTAGATATTTATATACTGATCGATGGTGGGTACATAAATTAGTACAACTACTTTGGAAAATAATTTAGCATTACCTAGTAAAGCTTAATATGCACATTCCACATGACCTAGCAATTATATTCCTAGACACATACTCAAGAAATTCCTGCAGATGGTCACCATGAAACATGAAAAAGCTTTATCAGAGCACTGTTAGATATAACAAACTAAAAATCTGGAAACAACCTAAAGGTCCATCACCAGTAGAGTGAACAAAGTACAGTATAGTCACACAAGGAAATGTAGTTAAATTAATAAATTATGGCTATACATAATATGGATAAAACTCAGGGATGTAAATATTTGCTTAAAAATCAAGTTGTAGAAAAATACTTAATGTATAATTTCATTTTATGTAAAAATAAACAATATACTATAGGAACTGAACATATGTAGAAAAACTACAAGGAAAGCAAGGAAACAAAAATTCAGTAAGTGATGTGCTTTGAGGGGAAAGGGATAGGATATTATTCTTTTTTAAAACTGGGTGGTAGATTCATGGTGTTCACTGCACCATTTTTTACATTTTACATATAAAAATAAATAAACGTGTATGTTTCTTTATTTACTCAATATTAAAAAATACATTTTCATTTGGTAGCCTGGATTTCTCTATTCATCCAAACAACTCATTTTTACCTTCTGAACAGTAATATTTAAAGAAGTTCTGAAGAAGCTTCTTATAAAACTTAAGCAAAAACCTAGACATGTTTTTGGGAGCACGGGTGTGGTGGTATTCAGGGGTTAGAGGCAACGTGAAAAGATCAAACTGACAGTGATTGGTTGTACTGATGTCTGCTCTTTTGCTTCATCCCTCTCCAGACAGTATAATAGTGAGCTCTGGAAGCAAATAGATCTGGACTGAAATCCAGCTAATGTCCCCTATTTACTATGTGACCCTTGGCAAGTTACTTCCATTCTCTGTCCTCCACTCATATATAAAAACATGAACAACAGTGGTGACGATGAGTACAGAAACTATCATTCATTGAGATTTAGTAAATTCTGGCCACTAAACCAAGTCATTAAGTGCTTAAATATAGTAGGCATATCTAATTAATAAAACTATTATGTTGACAATGAAAATATGGAAAATGCAGAAAAGTAAAAGTATTCTTTTAATTAAAAGTATAAATCCCTCTTTTAGAGGCAACCACTTCTAACTTGTTGGCATATTTCTGTTTTGTTATTTAAGACAAAGTCATTTAGCACCTTTCTCATGCAAATGTGGTAGGTAGACAAAACAGCAGATCATCTGGAAGTGGTTAGGAATGGAGAATCTCAGGCCCTACACCAGACCTACTGAAATGTAATCTGCCTTTTGACAAGATCTCCAAATTATCCATATGCATATTCAAGTTCTAGAAGCATTTGTAAGTCTTTATCCTTATTAGAGGAATTTTCCCAGGTCAGAAAAAGGTTCTCAAATGACTATATGGCAAATGACTGCAATGATAGTTCATCATTTCACCTTATGCAACCAAAATTTACTTAGCTATTTCCCAAACACTGGGCATCTAGATACTTTCGCTTGCCCATATGATAAATTTTTGTGTTCAAATCTGTCTATAGTGTAGGAAAAAAAAAATCACCACAAATTACACAAAGAATGACCAGGTCAGAAAGGATAGTACTTCTAAGTCTCTTGATACAAAGTGATTTTCAGAAAGATTGTACCAATTTATATTTCCAGCAGTAGAGTATGACACTAACGGAACTATTTAAGGAGACCATGCATGGTATGTTGCAAAGTTGCAAGTTTACAATTTACCGTCAAGAGATTAAGTAGTCTTTTAGTACTTCATTTCTAGTATTCCTGGACACTGGGTGCCCCACAATCCTCCTCTCACTATACCTCAAAAGTCAGCATATCCAAAATGAATTTAGCACGTCCCACCAAAAAAAACTTGTACTTTTTCCTACATGGCTGATATCAATGAGTGGCATACCATACTCAAGTCAGAAACTAACAAGTCATCCTAAAATGCCTCTTCTCATAGCCCACACAATCAATTAAGCACAAGATCCTTTTGATTCTACTTCATAAAACTATCTGCAAATTATACTCCTCTCCAATGCTTTAGCTCAGGCCCTCATTATGTTTCCCAATGATTACTGAGAGGCCTGCTACCTAGGAATGCTGTTCCCAACCTAACCTCCCCATCAGATGAATTCTTCTAAAATACAAGTCTCATCTGTCACTATTTAACCTCCATATTTCACCACTTGTAAAAAAACAATCAATAAATGTTCAGTGAGGTAATCTAGGTGCCACTTTTTGTTCTCCATGGAGACTACTAATTTCCATGATAGCAGGGGAGCTGAAGTAAAGTTATGGATTGGTCAGAAGAACCTAACATATTTGCTGTCAATTCCTGTTACAGAAGTGATGTAAGTACACAGCGTGGGATGAGCTGTAACATATCCCTTAACCCTTGGTTACTTAATGGTATGCCAAGCTATCCATAACAGGCATCCACAGTGACTCTCTTGAAGTGAGGTTTTACCAAAGTTGAGAAGAGTCCAATCCTTACTGTACTATTATAACTGGGGATAGCTTCACTATTCTGGAAATGCTTGTATTATGAGGAATAGCGTGAAGAAATAAAATGGAGTCACTATATAGTCAAGCTATGAAATTACTAAAATCAATTAGGTTGAGGTCTGAGGAAATTATTTTATTGTTGTTTTAATCAGCCTGGAACTTAAAATTTTGAATTTTCCAGTTCTGCAGTAATGCCTAGATATACATGATCACTCAATGACGGACTCATGTATCAAGACCACCTGACATCCATAATCCAGAATGCCTGACACACCCAGGACCAATCCTAGTGCAGAGAATACAGGACTGATTATTCTCAAAAATGCACATTTTACTATACGAACTCTTAACTTTTTTTTTTCTTCAAAACACACCTGAGTTAAAAAAAAAAACCCTGAGTTTTTGCCTAGTGGTGTTTCCAGTTTGTAAATCCTAGGACACTTGAATATCATTTATTTCTAGCCAGAGCCTCCAGGCTCTTCTTTGAGTGTGTTGGACAACTCTTTGAGTGTGTGTTAAGACAGGGGTGGCAAAACATGCTTCCCCACCCCTGGCTACTTGGTCTGTTTTTGTAAAAAGGGTTTTACTGGATCATAGCCATGCCCACTTATTCACCTACTGGGGCAGAGTTGAATAGTTGTAACAGAGACCACTTAGTCCCAAGAGCTTAAAATATTCATTGCCTAGCCTTTAAAAAAAAAAAGTCTGCCTACCTTACTTTAAAGCAAGCATGTCAAACTCGTGGCCCACGGGCCCCATGTGGCGCACAACTATTTTTGTGGCCCAGCCAATATAAAGGTATGTAAGAAGCGTTTTAATAAAAATTTTGTAACTTAATTTTTACAATATCCTGTTATACATAATTATTAATAACAAACTACAACGTTCGCTAATGACTGATTACTATAATCGTGTTGCATTAATTTCCCTTAGGCACCATCCGCGCAGGCGCACCATTTCTCTCCACTAATACTAGCAGCGAATATTTTAGCAGCCGATTGCCATGTCATTAGTCTTGGACTGACTTGTTTGGTGTGCGCTACAGGAAATCTTTCACTTTCAGAGAAAAAGAAAAATAGGTTCATTTGCATTACGCTTATTAATTTGTGCAGTAATTCAGTGTCTGGTAAGTTAATGTTCAAGAAAAATATTAATTTTTATTTAAATGTTCTATTATTTTATGTTAATGATGACTCATTTATTTCAGCCCTTTGTATTCAGCATTTCTCTATCGAAATAAACCCATGTTTCTATGAAAATAGAAGCTTTTGGGTTTTTTTTGTGGCCCACAGAAACTTAAACCTTATTTGGCCCGTGTTAGCCTCTGAGTTTGACATGCTTGCTTTGAAGGAATGTTTTATAACCTTCAGACTCTCCTTGGTTCTGAACTCAATCAGCATAATGAGGCCACATCTTTTGGCAGCTAAGGGGAGAAAGTAGTCAGCGGCTGTCTTCTGTAAGAGTGTCTCTACCTCCAGCTCTCTCTAGAAGGCTGGTCTAGGCAGTGACCCTAACTCTGACTCAGTGGCCTTTGATCAGGGTGGGTTTATGCTGGGTGTGAGCCGAAGGCCATGGTCAATGACCCGTCCCTCTGAACCTGTTGAACTCTAGAATTCCACACAGGAAAGCATACCTTTCAGAAGGAAAGTCTGCCTCAATCCATTTAAAATATGTATTAAATACCCAAGGTTAAAATTGTCTTACTAGTATCACTGCTTATAAGGGTAAAATTTTAGTAAATGATTTTGGATTTCAAGTCAGACGCTACCACAATTTGGTTGTGTAACCCTAGGCAAGTTACTCATCTCTTCATATGCCTATCCCCTCACCTATAAAAATGAGCTCTACATCTCAGTTCTAAAAAATAAATCTCACCTAACCGCTGTTTCCAAGAGTTGGCCAATTCTGACAAGATCTTTGATCGTTCAATTGTAATATTTTCCATGTAACTAGGTATCTTCATTCATAACAAGAGTAGTATTTTAAGGCTAACAACATTTTTTTGCTATGCATTACAATGCCATAGTCATTTTTAGAGAATGCCATCTAAGTAAAATCTGTAAAAAGTACAACACTGGAAGCCACTGGAAAGAGAAAACATTAATAAAAAGACATTTCTTGCCCTATGACTTTCATCTAAATCTCATATATATTAAAAGGCATTTAGCAGTAAAACCAAACTCTGGCTACTGAGACTGAGGAAATGCATTTTTAATTTTATTAAGTTTTAATTAGTTTAAGTTTTAATTTAGCCAGATGTAATTAGTGGCCAAGGTATTAAACAGCAAAACTCTAGAAAATCATAAAATGTTGGTATGTAACAATCCAGTGTTTTCTGCTACACAATGCTTTCTGTAACGCTAATCCTTTCAGTGATATTTTAAGAAGTATATTTTCAATCATATACTATTTTCAGTATAAAGATATAAAGTGTTTCATCAGAGAGTACATACAAATAAAAAGGATTGTTTTTAAAAAATGAAGTTTTCCTCAATCCCACATTAAACTGGTAAAGGAGAGGGATGAGAATATAGAAAACTGTATCACAACTACTAGAACATGCACACAATTGCTCTTTTTTATATTGCCACACTTGGCTCCTAGATTCAGGTCAAAGTCCCTCTGCCCCCAAAACAGAAAGGTCCATCTGATACCTAATTATAATATCATTTCTAAATTAGTCCTAACATTTTAGAACTGGGTACACACACACACACTTTAATTATGTCCATTATATTCCCAAGACATTTCCCAATATTCTTTCTAGATTTTTTAATAGTAAAATGCACAGAACTTTTCTGCATCTACCACTCTTAGCTATCTAATGTCAGCTGCTTCTCCTGCCTGTATGGCTCTTTCAGGCACAATTACATCAAATCCAATCCTCTGGTTGTCTGCCTTTCTTCCTCTGTTCATACTAAATAAAATCCCCATACTACTAACTTCCTCTTGGGCTCTATAATTAATGCAATCCATGGTTCTTATCCTTATGTTTAGTTAGTAAATTATGTCATCAAGATCTTTGAACTTCAGCCCTGGCTGGTTTGGCTCAGTGGATGGGGCTTCGGCCTGCGGACTGAAGGGTCCTAGGCTCGATTCTGGCCAAGGGCACATGACTGGGTTTCGGGCTTGATCCCCAGTAGGGGCATGCAGGAGGCAGCCCATCAATGATTCTTTCTCATCTTGATGTTTCTATCTTTATCCCTCTCCCTTCCTCTCTGAAATCAATAAAAAAATATATATTTTTGAAAGATCTTTGAACTTCAAAAATTCATGTCATAAATGTAATCAGATTCTAAACAACTTGAAGCTTTTATTGAGCGAGTTTCTAAATTCAGAATAATAATAGATTAGTTTACCAACTGTTCACAAATTGACAGACTACTTGGTAATGCCATGTATTTCTTTGCCACTATTTTCTATTTGTTAAAAATAGAGCTTCAAAAACCTATGGCAAGCACTGGTGACATAAAAATAAATGAGGCTGTCCCTGCCCTTGGGGAGGTCAGAGTCAGGCAACATAAAAAAAGTTTGCATAAAGCACAGCAGAAGCCCATCTAGGGAAACCATTTTTCTCCCGGGGAAGGTCATGTTTGATTACAACAGCAGACTCAGAATATGTCCCCCAGTGGACTCATCTCTTACACGAATAAAATACTACTTTTCTTTGCCTATAAATTCAGTTGATTTAGGTCCCATTCAGATCTCTAAATTAAAATTTTGTGGCTAAGCTTAGTTGAACATCTACCTAGAAGAAAAGTAGAAGTTGGCCAAGTATAAAGCCCTACCACCACGCCAGGCTCACCGCGAGAATTCGATACATATTTGCAAAATAAAAGATCGCAAAGGTGGCTCTCACCGTGCCTTCTCTCCAGCCCCTCCTTAATTAGCAAACGTTCGAACACCCGGACCACCTCCGACCCCATTTCACCCACCAGCTAAAGACACGGAGCCGCATCACTCGTCGCTCCCCACCAACGTGCTCACACTTCCTCGGCGCCAGGGGGTGGGGTGGGGTGGGAAGCTCAGGCTGTTCTCACAGGAACTGGCCAGTTTGGGGAAACGCGTCCTGCCGCATCCCACGTGGAGGTGAACTTGGGCTCTGCGTGTGTTCAGTTTGGAGACCATCGACAACACAATCATGCCCGGCACTGGACCATCTACCACCACCCTCTTCTGTCTGCAATCGTCACAGCATTTTTCTGATCACCCCCACCGGCCTCAAAGCCAGACCTTCCACGTGGGATGGAAGGCAGGAGAGCTCATCTGATCCTGCGGTCAGAAGACAAGAGCAGCAGACGGGTGAACAGGGCCGAGAGGGGGTAGGACGGTGCGAGGTGACTCGGGGACCCCGAGGTCAGCTCAGGCGGCCTGGGCCGGGAATCCCGGAGGCGTGGCGGCCCGGGTTTACCCATAGTAGCGGAAGGCATTGATGATCTTCCAGAAGTGCTCGCGCTCGAGCCTCTCCTCCTCCTCCTCCGTGCTGCGCGTGGCTGCCGCCGCCGCCGCCGCCGAGTCCACCGCGACCGAGCCCAAACGCCCGGCGGA